CTGTGCATTACAGCACTTCCTGCAGACTGAGGGATCCCCACTGACACACTCAGACAATACTCCTCTAGGCTGGGCACTTGGAACTAGGCCACTATGATACTTCCAGGCAAGTGGCTGTCCCTCTGTAAGAATCAGCAGTGGGTAACAACTCTGACCACACAGATGAGTGGGTAACAGCACCCTCGGCACAGCAGGCGAGTTCTCACTCTTCCCCTCTGATGATCCTCTTGTGTTAAATACTTTAACTGTGCCACACTTTAAATGAAGCGCTTGATGCAGATTCTTGTTGAACCCTAATACAAACCCTGTGAAGAGGAAAGTGGATAAATTTGTTGCTAGCCCCTTTTTATGGATGAGACAGCCAGTGAGGTAAAGTCACATGCTCAAGGTCACAGAGCAATTAAGCTGCACAACAGGACTGTAACCCGGACAGTGTGACTTTCAGCCCCCCAAATGCTTAACTCCTAAGCTTGACTGTCTCATCCTTCAAGATATGGTCATGCCCCTTTCCACCCCGCCTCATCATCTCTCCTGCAAACTGCAGTCCCACACTGGCCTCCCATACATGACCTCTCAGACTGACAGACATAGTCCCACCTCAGTCTGTGCTGCCACCGGCTTTGCCCATAGGATGGAGTGTATGTAACTTACTGAGCAGAGTTGAGCAGAGCAGGGCCTAGCCCCATCTCTACACCTCAGCAAACACACTCCCGAGCCCTGCAGAGTGAAGGCCAGCCCTCAGCCCAGCACACGCAAGCCCCTCAATCTTTTAAGGCCACATCTTTTGACTCTTCTCTCAACCCACAGCTTACTAACCAGAGCTGGTGGCTCCGCACTCACACAGCTCCTGCAAACAAAACACCAAGCATTTTAATTACCAGGCTCCACGGCTGACTCTTGCAAGAGTCATGGAGTACTCCATGGCACAGAGCGTGTCTTCACCAGCTTTTGACTCCTCAGTGCCTAGCATTGAGCAAACAGGAGGAGGTGGCCAATATATTTTTAGGGAACAAATAAGTGCCTCTCATCCCAAGGACTGCCCATGGCAAGATGAGTGACAAAGATCTCTAAACTACGACTCAAGTCTGTCAGAGTTCTGAGCATGTGTGTATAGCACGTACGTACATATGTGAACCCACATGTGACACACACAGTATTCTGGTAGTGGCTGGTGGGTTCCAGGAGTAGGGGCACTCACCACTGCAGTAATGTGTGAAGCAAACCCCTTTCCTAGACTCACAAAAAAGAGAGTATGCCACAGCTGGACAGGGAGGTCTGACAGGGCTGTTGAGGGAAAACCTGGGGTGCTGAGGAAACACCAAGAGGCCTCACTTGCCTGGAAAAACTACAGTCAGACAGGAAGCACACAGGCAGAGAGGCTAGCTCTGGAGATCCGGACACGTGCTCTTGGCCCCTTTCCCTGCTGGGAACCACCAGCCAGTAAAAAGAAAACCCTTCATCATACCTGGCTGGGTCTCCACACAGGAAAGGACCCTCAGGCTCCTTGGAGCCCAGCCCTCCTCCCAGCTAGTCGGCTTCCCACACCAGCCCTAGCCAGCCGGTTCCTTGAGGCAGTTAGCTGCTTTCTTCTCCCATCTGCCCACAACTGTCATCAAAGCTACCACTCAAACACGAATTGTCTCTTTTAGTTCCTCTAAGGGCAAGAACTTGTTTCCATTCGGCACCTAAAAGGGCCTGATATTTGAAGTCTCTACTTAAGAATCAGCCAGACTTGAGTCAGCATCCATGGCTATTGTGCCCACCACTGACCCTCACTCTACTGGACAAGCTCACTAAACATGGGTCTGAACCGCCTCACCTTAGAAGACACCAGAGGGAAAGCCAAAGCCTAGAGAGGCTGACGCTGGCTCGGATATGAAGGTGGAGGCGGCCCTGCCCAGCCATGTCGGCTCTAAGCACAGGTTTCTCTTCTCAGAGGTGCAATGGGGCCCACGGGGAAGACAGCCTGGAGTTTGGCATCAACATGGGACTAGCAGTCCAGCCACTATGTGGAAAGCCGAGACTGTCACACAAGAACACTTGTACCTGTGACATCATTTACTCTCTATATTCCCTATTAACTCATCTGTAAAATGGATGGTAATCCAAACATCTCCCAGGGACCTTGTGAGTCTGCGCCTAAGAATCGTGACTAAGTCTCTCTCTCGATAGCACTTAGCAGGAAGTCTGTTATTGCCTTCTATTCACTTTTGTTGGTGTCTGTAACCAAATAAAAAGCCAATAAACCAGCAAAGAGACAAACACCGACCTGCTTCCTGTCACACCACCACACCAACTAGTGCCAAAGCACTTTCCCCACCCCCTCCCAACTCTGAGCCAAAGTGCTGCCCTAGAAATCAACAGGTGCTGGTCCCATTTCACAAGTGTCAAGTCAGAGGCAGTTCCTGGATCGAGTGTGCTGCCCATTCTCCCCCTCAGGCTCTCAGCCTGGCATGGTCTCCAGGATGTGCAGGAAAAGGCTGGGCACCTCAGGCACCTGGGCAAGACTGGACAGCCTAAATCTCCTCTGCTCTCTGGGCCCCATAGGCCAGGCCATCAGAGTCTGCAGAAGGAAGCTGCAAACATCTGAACCCTCGAGCAAGGTGAGCCCAGGAATGGGCAGCAGCAGGACAGGTGGGAAGTACCAATTCCAACCTCACAAGCATCAACTTGCCTTTTTATCAGGAGTCCTTTAGCCCCCAAATCAAAGGGACTGGGTCCCTTTCATACCCTTTGCCTAAACCCCCAGGCCTCTCAGTTTACAATTTACAGTTGAGATCACTGAATTTGCAGCTTCTTGCAGTCCCACCCCTGGGGGCAATCACTCCTGCCTCCATCCCCCAAGGACTGCAGACTCAGTGGACTAGACTGTCCTCTCCCCCACCCAGCTGCTTTCCGTTTAGGCCCCAATTTACAAACAAGAAAGTCACACCCAGGAGTCAGATGTGCAAAACTCCCAATACTTTTCTACAGAAACAATGTTCTGTGTGCTAGGTGAGTGGGTGGGTTGGGGCAAAACAGTATCATTTCCTCCCTTTTTCAAAGTAGCAATTTAGGGTAACAGTTAACTTGGTCCCTATCCCTGTCCCTCACCCACCCTCTTCTTCATCCACATTCCATCTACTTCCTAAGAATGGGGGACGATAGTTCTAGCCTACTATCGTTACTTTGTATTAGTAGTAACAGCTCACATTTCTTACAAGTTACAATATAGCAAGCACTGTACCAGATGCTTTAAATCCACGATCTCATTTAACCACCCTCTCCTGAAAAAGCATCTATGGGTGGCTATATTACTTCTAAGGAGCTCTGGTAGCGTAGTGGTTACGAATCAGGCTGCGAACCTTAAGGTCAGCGGTTCGAAACTACCAGCCGCTCCGTGGGAGAAAGATGAGGCTTTCTACTCCTGTAAAGATTTACACCCTCGGAAACCCTGTACAGGGTCGCTATGGGTTGGAACCGATTCGATGGCACTTAATAACAACAACAACAACATATTACTTCTAGGTAGTGTAGTGGTTACAAACTGGGCTGCGAACCACAAGGTCAGCAGTTCGAAACTACCAGATGCTCCACGGGAGAAAGATGAGGCATTCTGCTCATCTTTAACATAAAGATTAACAGCCTCGGAAACCCTGTTACAGGGTCGCTATGAGTCAGAACCGACTCCACGGCTCATAACAACAACATATTACTTCTGCATTTGGCAGATGAGAAAACTAAGGCTCAGAGAAGATAAGGTAACTGAGCTAAACCCCAGTCAGCCTTGCCTTCAACCTCCGTGCTACACACTTAACTGCCTTGTTAGTCATGTGCTGGGCAGAAAACAACGCAGCCTGCTGCCCAGGAGATGTCTATCTGGGAACCCTCAGGCACCCATGCGGCAGGCAGAGCACTCCTAACATCCTAGAAGTCAGGAAGGCGCTGTGCCTACAGCCTGAGGGATGTCCCCAAGGCCAATCCTGTTGGGGGGGGGAGGGGAGATCTGTCCTTCCTCCACTAATCTAGTCTCCCAAATCACTGACCAGAAATCCTGCCCAGAGGGAGACAGAGGGGCCACCATTTCTCAAGGGGCTTGGTCAGATATGGACTTTTAGTGAAGAATGGCGGCTTCACCACAAGACCTTCCTTCCACCCAATTCATCATCAGTACGCATGTACTCCATACCCAGGAAGGGCTGTGTGTGGGGGGGGTGTCACTTCCTGACCCCTTCCTCTACCCCTCCTGCTCTCCCTTCCCCAACACTAGGCCAGGGAGGGGGCGTCTTTGCAGGAAGCAACCCGTCTCTGGCTGCAGACCCCTCATCTCTTCACACTTGTGGGAAGGGTGGGAGGGCAAAGCTGAGACGCACAGACGCCCCGCCCCGTGCAGGGAAGAACACGCTAAGAGATGGGGACTTTTCAAAGCCCCGAACTCCAGCTTCTCACCAGAGACCTGAGCAAACAGCGGCAAGCTCAGGCCTAGGAAGGCAGAGGCAGGAAACCCCGAGCCGCCGCTCCCAGGACCCCGGGAGGGGCACCAAGAACGACTCCCCAACCTGGCTGCGGCCTTCAGGGGCCAAGTTTCAGGGCAAGCGCCCCCTGTGCCTCCAAATAAGTCTGTGCCCTGGCAGTGGGCTCTGCGGACCCACCCAGGCCTCCCAAACTCAGCTTGAGGACAAAAGAAGCGGCGGGACGGCGCGGCCCTGGACTTGCACACAGGCCCACCTCGCTGGCCCCACATCTGCCCAAGTTCTCCGTAAGAAGCCCGATCTGGGGCCCGCGGGGTTTCACCGAGCTGCTCTTTTCGGGGGAAGGGGTGCTGAGCGGAGCTCTTTTCGGGGGAAGGGCTGCCTCGGCCCCGCGCGGGGGAGTGGGCGTGCCATCAGGTGACCGAGGACCCGGATGCCCCCCGCCCCCGGTGACCACCAGGGCCGCGGCGGGGGTGGAATCGCTTGGGGGGAGGGGCGGGAGTTTGCCCAAGTTCCTCCCGAGGCGGCCCTCAGAGGGAGTGCACTTACTGGCCCCCTCGATCTTGTCGGCGCCGCGGCTCCACGTGATCTGCCGCGTCTCCAGCTTGACCTGGAAGGTCTTCCGCTCCGGCCGCTGCGACTTCTTGGAGTAGAACAAAGTCATGACGGTGCCCACCTCCAGGCTGCGGCAGAGGTGCAGCACCTCGGCGTCCGAGGGCGCGCCGGGCCCGCAGCCGTTGGCGCAGGGGGACGCGGCGCCCGCCATGGCCCGGGCTCCGGAGCGGCGACGGCAGCGAAGGCAGCTGAGGCGGTGAAGTCTGCCGGCGAGCGGGAGCCGAGGCTCCTGCGGGCGGAGACGGGGCGGGGCCTGAGGCGGGGCGG